ACTTCTGATGGCAAATGGGGGGTCTGTCTGTCTGTCGGGTTCCTCAGAGATGCACAAACTGTGAAGACTGGAGAGCACACAGACACAGCTCTTTAGGGACATCAGCACCACTAAAATCATGGAATTAGAAAAGCCTTCCAAGACCACAGAGTCCAACCTGTCACCGTCCCCAGCCCAAAGCTCTGAGTGCCACATCCAGGAGGTCCTTGGACACCTTCAGGGATGGGGATCCAAACCTCCCTGGGCAGTTCCAAGCCCTGAGCACCCTTTCCATGGGGAAATTCCTGCTGATGTCCAACCTGAGCCTCCCCAGCCCAGCCTGAGGCCGTTCCCTCTGCTCCTCCCTGTTCCTGGCTCCCCTCCTGGCAGGAAAATTTCCTCACTGGCACAGGGTGCCCAGGGAAAGGGTGGAACACTTCCATCATCCCTGGAAGTGTTCAAAGAATGTTTGGATTTGGCACTTAGGGACAAGGATTAGTGGTGGGCTTGGCAGTGCTGGGTTAAGGGTTGGACTTGATGATATTTGAGGGTTTTTCCAAGTAAAAATCACAATTTTCCAAGTTGTGATTTTATGCAAATAACAGCTGGATTTACAGAGGAGGAATTGTGGGATGAACAATCCAGAGCAGAACTTTAACACCCAAATGGGTCAAAAATATCTCTCCTGAGAGCAGAAACCCTCCTGTGCCCCAGCAATGAGCAATCACAGATAATTCTGGGTGATAAAAGGAAAAAAAAAAACCAACAAAACATCAAGGAGGAGATTTATCAGAGGAAAAAACATCGCAGGCTTCCAGTGGGATCCAGGAAAACCTCTGGGCCAATAGCTGGAGCAGCAGTAATTGTTCCAAATCTATCAATAAAGCTGAGCTGCTCCTTCATTGACTGCAAACACCAATTTCTTTCATGGGGGATTATAAGTTGATGTTCATGGTCTCTCTACCACCATTAGGGTGATAAACAGTTGAAACTACATCAGGATCTGACATGCAGATCAATTCTGGCTCCATAAAGAATCTACACAAGAGGTTCCTGGACAGGGATTTACTGCCCCCAGTTTTTATTCTCTCTTGCTGCTAAAATTACTTCTGTCAAGCACTTACAAGAGCATGGAGGAGAAGGGGGAAGGAAAAAAAAAAATAAAAAAGATGAAAAAAGGCAAAAAGAATTAATTTTTCATGTGCTGCTGGAACAGCCTTTTGAAATTTGGGGAGTTTTTAAGGCAAATATGTTCCTGCATTGGAAATGATGCTGAACAGCAGGTGGGAGTGAGCTAAATAGTGAGCCAGCAGCACGAGCTGCTCACTATCCAGCACGCAGCAATTTGAAACACCAAACTAAGCTGTCGAGATTTTCTCCCAGGGCAGGCACAGGCTTCATGTTACCAGCACCAAATTATATTAGACATTTAATTTTAAACCTCAGGTACTTAAATGTAAAACCTTACAACAGTAATAGTCATAAAGCAGTGGGGCATTCCATTTCAGAGAATGGATTTTTCTATTTTTCCCCTTTAATTTAACCAGCACCTCCTGTTTTGTGGCTCTGCCCACTACAAAGTAATTTATCTAATTAGGAGATGTTCACAGCTGCTTGAAAGACAGAAGCCCCAGGAAACCAAAGGTCTGGTTTGGAAGACTTTGAAAAGTTCTCTGGAGCCACACAAAGTATTAATTTAATGTGAAAAAAAGGTGCAGAGAAAAATTGAATCCCAATATGTTATTTTGTCTACAATAAAACCACGTGACAATAAGCAGGCATATTCTCCAGTACATTGGCATTTGAATTCCAAAAGATGCTTAGCTTCTTGCCATACCTGCTGCTTTCACAGTATTAGCTTTTTATGACTAAAATTCAAAAATCTTTTAATGGAGAAAAAACCCCCAGAAATTAAAAAGGGTTTTTCATGCGTCAACTTGCCAACATAAAGGCCACATCTCTGAGCTTACCCGAAGATGATACACTCAGAGCAATCAATTATTCTTGAGGTTTTGTAGGAGTTTTTGTGCGATACTTCTGAGTCTGCTGCCTAAAACTCGTTTTTAATCCAGTTTTCCCTCCATATTTATAAAAAAACAACCCCTCAAAAAATATTTTAAATATTAGAACCTCTGCAAGAAATTATTTGAGGTATGCTTCTTCAGAAGCACCCAGCAGTCACGTGCAATTTCAAAATAAGTATTTCATAGGTAATTCTGGCTGTCATCTCTTCTGAGCCAGAAGTAATCCCACATGAATGTCAAGTCAGAAACAGGTACTGCACATATGGGAGAGCGCAGGGCTGGGGTGGGAGAACAGGTTCCCTTCACCAGGAATTGCAAACCAGCTCAGGATCAGCAGCAGGAGCAAAAGGCAAGTCCAGCAACCCCAGCATTGTGAAGTCAAGGGGATGGCAAAGGCAGGAATTCAGGGGATATTTCTCATTTTTAAGATTCTATTTCCACTCCAGGGTAGGAGTTCACTGAATTTTGGAGGTTTTTCTCCCCTGCAGCCTCACTTGGGACATGTGGCACAGGGATGGCACCTACTCACCTGCCTGCAGGAGTGTCAGGGTGCACAGCACTGCAGCCTACAGCCCCTGCTTTCCCCTACAGCCAGCACCCAACAGTCCTCATCTTGCCTTAGAAAAGCCACAGGACAAAAGGCACAAAAAGCCCAAACTTTGGTCTAACCTTCCAGAAGGGAGGTGGAGCTGGGGTGGATTGAAATGACCAAGCAATTCAGGAAAAGGAGGCAGAAAATGTATGATTTAAAGATGGAAACCAGCTCGGCATCCATGCAGGGCAATGCTGCCTCCCCTAAAGCTTCACCACGAGTGGGTGAGCTGGGGGGACACAGAGCAGAACAGGGCTGGAGCATCTGTTTCACTGTGCTGCTTCATAACACCCCTGCCTTCCTGCAAGGCTCACTCAGAAAACTCTCAGGCAACATCTGGAGCATTTTAATGCCAATTCTCCTGGAGGTGCTGCCCCCATGTTTGCAGCTCCAGGAAAAGGTCTGTGCTGTGCTAAGTGTGAATTTGATAGTTAATGTCACTCTGAAACACGGTGGTCATGGTTTTAAACCCTCTGTTCTCCTAAGGCGGCACTAAAAACCTGCCCAGAGATGCTCTCAGGGCTATACTCAGGTTCAGATCCTCTATAGACACAGAGATATATGTGGGACATGTGAAACAGTTCCCATATTCCCCTCACTGCTCCCATTTTAGGGGCAGCCATCAGAAACAGCATTCCTCCCCTTTCTCCTGACCTGTTCACCCTGGTCTGGTAGCAAACATCACATCTACCCTTTAAAAACAATTATTGCTACAACCTAATAATTCCAAAACACCACCAGGAATAGTGCCTGCTCCTTTTAATGCTGTTCAATGCTCCACAGAGGAAACACTAAGAGTGTGGAGCAGGAGCACAGCAGAGAAAGGACACGCTGAGGAGAGGATCTGGAGGGTCATTTACTGCTAATATCCATCACACAGGGCAAGGAATCTGAGTTTCAAGCAAACAACACACATTAATTATGTGGCTGCTCCATCCCTGGGAGTGTCCAGGGCCAGGCTGGATGGGGCTTGGAGCAGCCTGGGATAGTGGAAAGTGTCCCTGCCCATGGCAGGGAAGATGGGTTTGAAGGTCCCTTCCAACCCAGACCATTCTGGGATCCTATGATTATGTACCTGAAATTAAAATTAAGCAGTATTGCAACTACATTATTGCACCTTAATGTTGAAAAGAGTACAGCAGAATTCTCTCAGGCTGCTCCAAGTCCCATCCAGCCTGGCCTTGGACACTCCCAGGGCAGCCACAGCTTCTCTGGGCAACCTCTGCAGGGCCTCACCATCCTCTCAGGGAAGGACTGCTCCCTAATAGCCAAGCTAAACCTCCTCTCTTTCTGTTTAAAGCCATTTCCCCTCGCCACATTAAAAAAAATTAACGTTTAAAGTTAATCCATTCCCCTTCTTTCTAATTCCAATTTTTCCCTCTGCAAGTTCAGTACCCAACAGCACAATGGGGTGGGCACCATTTTGTTTCCTTTTTTTTCCCCTTTTGGAAAAAACCAAGAGCACCAAAGTCCCCCTTCATCCCAAGGCACATGAACCCCTGAAAGCTGCAGGTTTCTTACCACTGCTAATGCCACCATCCTATCAAGGAAGGATTTCTCCCTAACAGCCAAGCTAAACCTCCTCTCTTTCCATTTAAAGCCATTCCCCCTTGCCCTGTCACACAAAAGTCAAAGTTAATCCATTCCCCTTCTTTGTAATTCCAATTTTTCCCTCTGCAAGTCCAGCACCCAACACCACAATGGGGTGGTACCATTTTGTTTCCTTTTTTTCCCTTTTGAAAAAAACAAAGAGCACCAAAGTCCCCCTTCACCCCCACAAAGCTCCAGGTTTCTTACTACTGCTAGTGCCACCATCCTCTCAGGGGAGGACTGCTCCCTAATATCCAAGCTAAACCTCCTCTCTTTCCGTTTAAAGCCATTCCCCCTTGCCCTGTCACACAAAAAATTCAATATTTAAAGTTAATCCATTCCTTTCTTTCTAATTCCAATTTCCCCCTCAGACTCTGCCAGTTCAGCACCCAACACCACAATGGTGTGGGCACCATTTCATTCCCTTTTTTTGCCCTTTTGGAAAAAGCCAAGAGCACCGGAGTCCCCTTTCACCCCAAGGCACGTGGGACCCCCAAAGCTCCAGGTTTCTTACCACTGCTAGTGCCACCATCCTCTCAGGGAAGGACTGCTCCCTAATATCCAAGCTAAACCACCTCTCTTTCCATTTAAAGCCATTCCCCCTTGCCCTGTCACACAAAAAAAAGTTAAAGTTAATCCATTCCCTTCTTTCTAATTCCAATTTCCCCCTCAGACTCTGCCAGTTCAGCACCCAACACCACAACGTGGTGGGCATCACTTCATTCCCTTTTTTTTCCCTTTTGGAAAAAACCAAGAGCACCAGAGTCCCCCTTCACCCCAAGGCACATGAACCCCCCAAGCTGCAGGTTTCTTACCACTGCTAATGCCAGAGTTGGCAATGACTGTGGCCTCACTCCACTGATCTGCACTGGAGACCGAGTAGGAGCGCTGGTGCAAACCGTCCGGGCGGCTGTTGAAGGACACCAGACTGATCCCACTGGCCATCTGAGACACAGATGTGCTAGTAGTCACGTTCCCTAGGCACAAAGGGAAAATAAATTGTGTCAATAGAGAGTACAGGAGGGATTTTGTGTCAGGATGGATGGGGGGTGCTTAATGAGCAGAAAGAAGGGGTTACTTCACCCACACAATGACCCTCCCTGTAGTGCCGGAGCTGACGGTCCTGAGACCAGCTCCAATCCAGCTAAGAAGACCAAAAAAGCCAAGTTTTTCATGCTATCACCTCATTCTGTTCATTCACCTTCTGGGAAACATGGTCTTCCACCACTCTGCTACCAAGCATTGTCTCTGCAGCTTCTCTGCTTGTTAGACTGGGCACAGAAAATCAATTTTATTGTATTTGCTGGGAATGCCCCAATGAAGGCAGGAATGATGAAACTGACTCCACGTTCTCAGAAAACTAATTTAGTACCTTATCATACTATATTATATTAAAGAATGATATACTGTACTAAAGAATACAGAAAGGACACAATGCTAAAAAGATAACAATGAAAACTCCTGACTCTCTCCACAGTCTGACACAGCTTGGCCCTGACTGGCCAAAGAGCCAAAACAACTCACAGCAGAACCCAATGGAACAATCACCTGTGGGTGAACAATCTCCAAACACATTCCACATGAGCACAGCACAGGAGAAACAAATGAGATAAGAATTGTTTTCCTTTTCTCTAAGGCTTCTCAGCTTCCCAGGAGAACAATCCTGGGCAAAGGGATATTATCAGAGAATATGAATGCTGCATCATTCATATTCATATCAAGTTTATTCCTAAAAGCCACTGTTTCTACAACTGAGCCAACTCCAAGAGTTTAAAACAATTTGCCTCTAAATAATACCTGACACAGGCAGAGCCCCAAGAACACACTGATGGGGAGCAAAGGACTGGCAGCAGTGAGAGACCAAGGGGGGGAAAAAAAAAAAATTCTTGGGCATTTAATCTTAAAACAACATTGTGACACAAAGCAGAACTCTGGACTGACTGCAAGTATCATTCCTGGGAATGGTCCCTGGAATGTGACACAAAAGGGGACACACAAAGAACAGCCTTTACCCAGCAAACACTTCTGTATTTTCACAATCACTGAGGCCTGGGACATTAAAATGCTGGGAGCTGTGTGCAAGGGGGAGTGACAGGGACGGGTTTCTCACCATAAAACAGGACAAGTGGGATCTGGTTGAATACATTTTAGAGCAGAAACAATTAAAACCTTTCCAGAAACTCAGGTTTCTGATGGTCTTACTCACAACTTGCTATGGGCCAAAACCTGCTCCACTGTTTTGGGTTCTGAGCACATTTTACTCCATCCCTAGCCACAGGCCTTGCATATCATAAAGCCACAAAGAATTTACAGTTTCATTCCTTGTGACAGGCTCTCTAAAGGTGCCCCACAGGTCCTCCCTGGATTGAAGAACACTCTTAAAAAACACATGCAAAGGGAAGGGAACAGACGCAGTGTTACAACGCACCCTCACACTTTGCATTTCCATTGCACCTTCTACTGATGAGTTCAGAAAAATTAATGAATTAATTTTCAATGCTCCTGTGAGGTTGTTAATTATCTGCTATCATTTCCCCCATTTTTCAGAGGTTAAATGACCCAGGGCCACAAAGGAAGATTGTGGCAGACTTGAAAATAAAACCCAGATCTCCTGACTCCCAGTTCTATCATTATGTCTTTTCCCAGAGCAGCCTTTGGGAAGACAGCACAGCTTAGTGAACTACTTTGTGTTTATTAGAGTTGGCATAATTGTCCCTTTCTCCCCTCCCCTTTCCCAAGACAAAATCTCCTCTTTAGTCCTTAGCACAGATCCATCACAGTATCTGTGTCTTCAATGAACTTACTCAGCCCTCCAGAATCTGCCTGGCAATTCCTGCTTTGCAGATATGAAATTTATAGACAGGAAAACTCATTTGTTTCTTTATGCAAAGTCTAAGGTGGGTTTTGGAACCTTGTTGGGACCTCCCAAGGCATGAGACTACAGAGCAGAGGACTAAACTGCAATTCAGTATTTTAAAACCACAACAGGAAATGAAAACATGAGCTGACCAAAGTTGTATTTTGGCTGCCTTAAAAGAAATCTCTCCTTCCAAATCAGCTTCTTTGATGCTCGCTGTGAAATCCTCTTTTCCTCTGCATTTCACAGTCCAGAAAAATGATGAATATTAATAAATTGTTTTGATGATCCACCAAATCAAAGGGAATGGCTGATGTGAGTGAGTGACAAGAGTTTGAGATTAAGTGGGTTCTACCAACTTGAGATTGAGGCCAGCACAGACACAACACAAGCAGTGATATTTTTGTGCTGACATCTCCTACCTAACCCACAAGCCTTTGAACACGAGTGTCCCGTCGCCTTCTGACAATGATGCAAAACCAACACCTTGAGAAGAGGCCATCAAGGTTTCTGTGCCATCGTGCCAGCACCAAGAGCTCTCCTCTCCCCTCAATGCCATCTGAGGCAGCTCCAGCCCCACACTGTGACATGAACCTGTTCAGAAGTGACTTGTTCTGGGAACCAAAGCAGAATTTTTCTTCCACTGCACCTCTCTCAAAGGTTGCTAGCACAAAACAGGTGCCAAGTGCATTCATGTGACACTTGAATGAACTCTGATGAACCCAGCCCAGCTCCCTCTTTCCTACTGCCACAGCCTGGGAACCTTTATCCTGCAACTTTTATGGTAATATTTATTCAGGATTAAATCCCACTTTGTTCAGGTGCTGCAAGGTGTGTATTTTCACGGCATATCAGACCATCAGGCCAGCATCCCTGAGCTGACATCAGAAGTGCCAGGCTACAGAAAATAGCGTGCCTTTCCTTTCCTTTCCTGTTCCCCTCCTTGATATGCTCAGCTCTAGCACAAACTTGTTATTTAAAACACTTGTTATTTAAATCATTATTTCCCAATCCAGCTCTGATTTTCCCACTTCTCAGTCCAACTGCACGACATGAACCCCACACCAGGCACTAAAGCTGCCACCCCAAAACAAGGACTGCTGCTCTGGCCAGAGCTTCTCCAACAGAGTCCCACAGCTCTTCCCGTCTACAATGGGCAAACCCCAAACCAGACCCGGCAAAACTCCTTTAATTTTCCTCAGGGATAAATCCTTGACAGAATTAAGACCAGTTCAGCCTTTCAGCAGCCAAGCAGGAGACAGTGAAGAAGAGGAGGCCAGCAGCATCAGTGGAAATGCTGCAGATGTCCCTACCCAGGGCAGGGCATTGGACCAGATGAGGTTTAAGGGTCCTTCCAGCCCAGACCATTCTGTGATTCCCTGATCCATGACCAGCAAAGCCTGTGTGTTGGGTCAGCCTTTACATCCTGCACCCCTTGTCCCCCAGCCAAGGACAGATTCCCATCTCCACACCGACCCCAGGCTCCTGCTCTGCTACCTGGCCCAGGCTGGAGCTGTGAAAGAGTTGCCTCTTCAAATGCATCCTGCATGCATCAGCTGGTAGCTTAAGTTGATTAGCAGGGGGCAGTTAAATTACTATGCTAATCCATGTATTCTCAGCACTGTTTCCTTGATATGGATATGTGTATATGCTTACTGGGAAGCCTTGATTAGTTCAAGCTTCAATGTGTCAAAGGCTCCAGATTCTTTCCAAAGAATAATTTTAGCTGTACTCACATCCCTAAAGTGTGGGAGCTGATTTGAAAAGGTACTTACCTCTACCATATGCTATTTTTCTTTAAACAATTTGCATTTCAAAGGGAATATGGCATTTATATTTGAATGAATATCAGTATGTTGCCAGAACTTGTCTCAAATGAGCAAAAAAAAAGATGCTGGTCTCCTATTGAACAAAAATGTTTTCATCTACCAAAGGAGCATCAAAGAAAGAGTTCCTCTTTCTAGCTCTAGACAGCTTTATTAAAACTATCTTTTCTGATGTTATAAAACACCCCGTTACGGCCGCGCTTACAAAACGTTCAAACAATTAAGCCCCACAAAACCCATCCAAATTAAGATTCAAGGTAATTTCCAGGTTTGGCCACTGCTCAGCAGAGCAGTCCCTAAGAAAAGCGAGCGTGCTCACACGAAATCCCATTTAAATGCCCATTTATTCAGTGTAAAATGCTGCAAAGAGCACGAGGAACGAAGGCAAGGAGAGTGGAGAAGCTGAGGGAAACACACATGGGGGCACAAGGAGAACAAGAGCAGAAATGCAAGACTTAGAAATGAAATTCAAATAACCAGGATCCACCCAATCAGGGGGCTTGACAAGATGTGAACAGTGTGAGTCTAACAGGTAAAAGCCAAAAGGTCTATTGTAAAAATGGGATTAAAATATGCACTTAAGGTTAATATAAATGCTGGGTTACATATGTGGAGTGACTTGTCCAACAAAAAATAAAGCACTCATGGTTTTGGTCTTGTTTGCTCCTGTAATGGAACAGTATGAGGGACAGCATGTCTGCAATCCCACATTTGATGGTTTTTAAGTTAATAATCCTGTGAATCATCACAGGTTAGTGGAACAGACACATCAGTTGAAGCCTTCACCAACTACACCACCCACTAATCCCAAATGCAGAAGGAATACAATTCACAAGCAGACCCTGAGAAGTGAGACACAAGATACTGGGCACAAATTATTTCCATTCCCTGCTGCAGACACATTTCCTCCAAACAAATCAGCTACCAGAAGTTACATTCACAAGTGCAACTAATACACTCCTGGATTGATGAGATGAGCAGCCAGAGCAGGAGTTGTGAAGCAGAACTGTATTTTTCCATGAGGCAGCAGCGTGTGAGACTCGCAGGGGGCTGCACAGAAAGACTGAATCACATAAACTGCAGCCCTACTGCTCTGCTTTCACCATGTTTCATTTGTGCCAAGCTCCTCGAGCTCATGACGAGTTTCTCTTCCAGAAAAAAAAGAGAAAGAGAAGGAAATAAACCTCTTAAGGCCAGAGGGCTGCGCTCACCAGCTGTTAGAACTAATGAAAAATACATTAGAGTTGTGGGTCAGGAAATCCTGACTCTTGATATCAGAGGGTTAATTGTTTCA